AAATCTTCAACTACACCCTGCCGACCGTTAACTAATTTTTAATTGCATTAATTACAGTTGTACTTTCGTAATCGAAATTCGTTAACTACATTTTCAAACCATTAATTACATTTTGAATACATTAAGTACGACAAAGACTTTCATTACGATGCATTACCAACATTAATTACAGTAAGTACTTTTGCTTGCATTTTAACTCCGACGCACCGGTCCTAGGTACTTCGTCATAATGTTGTCAATATCGCGTGAAGTCTTTCAATGACAACGATTTTTCGCAAAAATTTCTCATTTGTTCATAACTCTGCACTCACTTGACGAAACATGGATTTTCTTGTACCAACTGATAGAAAAGAGTTTGATGTTCATATAGGTACGTAAAAACAAGAATATTTGTATTTAGACGAAAAGCTGTTCTCAAAACCGCTGGTCATTTCACACTTTTAATGAAAAAAAACATTGATGTGCATTCAAATGTTGTGATATAACTACTCTATGTGTGTCTACTCTGATCCTACGTTATCATTTGCTAAAAGTAAAACCATGCTTCATTAACTGAGTGAAAAGTTATAAATTTGTGTAAAAAAATTGCCTACCCTGCATTTACCTATGTAAATGTAAAGGCTTTGAAAAGTTTTAGATTAAACACTACCTAAGTAAATGCAAGGGCTAAAAAGAGTTTTAAATTAAGCACTATCATTTAAAAAACGGTATTTCAGCCCTACACGGTGATTGTATTATGAATCATATTGGTATAGCTTGAATAAGATTCTACTGAAGTACTGAATTATTGTTTTCATTTGATAACGTACTTGTGGGTATGTAGGCATAACAAGGCCCAAATTAGCTGTGGAGGTGTCTAAAGAACGTATGCTAACCTGTTCACTAAGGACCATGAATGCAATCTAGCGGGACAATGTTAATATCTTCAAAATGAAGCATTTCGAAGACACCACAATAGTTGCTTATTATAATGTTTACCATCTTGTGGTATAATCAGATAGATCGAAACTTATCCTCACACAACTATTTTTCATAGACTGCAACTGTATATTTCGTTTATCTTGCGAGATGTAGAATTTGTAAAAAAAAAACATAGGCGATCAAAACACAAAAAAAAAACGAAATCATGTCCATGTCGTATAAAAGTTAGATGTATAGAGCTTCCAGATAGCCATGCTGCCTTTAGAGCAAAGTATTTGTTAAACATATCGGTCAATGTTCGTATTAGAAATTTTGACGACTTCCCTGATAATTGTGCTGTGAGCATATAAAAACATAGGCCTACTCTGAACTTACAATTCTGGAAGTTAAAAAAAACAAGTTCCACTGGGGACGTATAAATCCGTGTCGAATAGGAAGAATATCGCCTAAAAAATCAAAACTTTTAAGGACAACTGACGGTATGAGTGGAACACCTTGGTGTGTACCTCAATTACCTTTTTTTTCCTCACCAAATCTTCGAATCCTTTTTGTCGAGGTCCAAACAAAAGGTAGATAAAGAAAATCTTATTTTTGCTCATTTGTTAGGAACACATACAATGCACACATACATTCGCTACACACTGCTATTGCAAACAAAAGGCAAACGGTGCAAAAAGGAGCAAAGCAGAAAAGGGATTTAATGCTTTGCCAAATCCAACAGCATCAAGAGTTTCTCAATCTCCTTTTCCTCGATTTCTTGATGTGCACAGGCATTCGTCGTTGGATGCCGTTGTTTTGCGAAAACCGAAATTGGATTTGCATTTTTAAATAATGGAGATTAAGCGGGAACCTCGACATTGTCGGAACGCACAGCTTGAGACTTTCTGATTGAAAACGATAATTAAGAGGATTGCATTTTGCGTTTCTTCTCCGGATGCTCTTTTAAGTTTTGTTAAGTAGAATAAGTTTTGATGCAAAAACACACTAGCAATGAAGAACAATTTCTGCGTTAGCGGTGCACGACTTAATTCCATGATTTTTAAGCACAAAACTCCATTACTGTTTTTGAATTTCAATTAAAAATAATAATTATATTGTGTAGGAACTAACTTACTTCAACCCAAAATAAGAAATAATGAGCCATGCATGTTACGCACTTGCTGGTATCATAATGTCTATCTGTTTTATTCAAAGATGATGTGAAAAATCCTTATTAAATGAACTAGTGCAGTCCGTTGAACAATGTTTTGCACAAACATACGACTTTTCTGTTCTGCCCATGAACAAAAATTTGGTTAAATGCCACCAATGCTAAATTGCTTGAACAAGGTGTAGATAAATTGAACGAGGCTTTTATAAAATATTTTTGAAAAGCTGAATTTTGAGAGTTGCGTGTTGAAAAATCAAAAAGGCACATGAATGCAAAATAGGCTAATATACTCTTTTTCAGCATTTTTTTTTTCTCACCGGCACGACTTCCCCAAAGTTTTCCATAGTTTTTACACGATATTTTCGTAGTTTAATTGGTTTATAAATAAAAATAATAATAATTACCAAACATTATTTTTAGGCACTCAGTGCTGAAAAGTGTAACTTTTCAACACTGTTTTAAATAATATAACGGCATACTTTTCTAACCGAAATAACAGTGTTGAAAAGTACTACTTTTCGACTCTATTTTGAGTGTAAAAAATGTTGTAAGCAAAAACATATATCAGCGCTCGTAAAAATCATGCTGAAAAAAAAACATCTTTTTGCATAAATAACTATTATCTCAAAATTTTGATTATGGCATATTAGCCTTAATTTGACTTAACTGGGTGCATGCATTGAGTTGTTCAGTTTATCCTATACTTTATGCATTGCTTGTTACACATTTCCAGTCTCTTCATCTCAACTTAGAGCGTGACGCAGTGACAGGATTGCCTCTTATGTATTGAAAATAGAGCAAATTGGAAACATCCAACCGGGAGGATTCTCTTACAGTGTTGTTTAAAAGAATCTTAGCACAAAAACAGGGCCAACGCCTTATTATATATATTAATATATTAATTCAATAAGACAATGATTGTCAGTTAATTTATAAAAACCCTACCATATCATACCATATACCGATTATTTAACCTGGTAATTGTCAACTAGCCAAATAGTTTTTTTATTAAGTAAGGTTAGCTATCGAACGAGAAAATATCGAATCGAGATACTGAAATATCAAAAATCTGAGAAAATCACTTGTTCCTTACTGGGGATGGCTCCAGCGCAGTGATTAACCTCTCACGCCAATATCACGAGTTCACATTTCATGCGAGTCACGAATCACCCAAGTGTGTTAAAGTGACTATAATAATAACAGTAAAAAACATTTTTTTTTCTTGCATTTAAAATTATATTTGCATGCAAAAATACATTTCATTTTAAAAACGCATTATTTGAACTTGAACCAGTTGAAAAATACGCGAAATATGCTAGTTTCCTTAACGTATATTCATTTCAAGGAATATTTTGAAATTATTATTTTTGTTGAGATTTGTGTACAGGTAGATTGATGTTAAGGCTGATTTATTGTTTAAAACTGGACTTCAAAAATAGTTGAAAAAACGATCTTTACATGGTTCAAGAATAAAATAGTTATCACGTTAGTTTTCTTTATACTAATAGTGATAATAAAAGGGACCAACGTGTTTTTTTTTCAGATCCTTTATATCATTCATCAATATTGATTTAAATAAATATTTTTTTCCTTGATTTGTTTTCCGTCGATCTTGTTTGCCATGATAAGCACGAATGCTACCGACGCTAGGGAGGCAGGCTCACACACCTGGACCCTACCTATCGATCCATCAGCTCATGAACCGGGGACCAATGGCTTTACTTCCCTTCCGAAGAAAGGCGTGATCACAGATGTTATGCCTCAGAACATCCCGGCGGCGCCGACTGGGACTGAACCCAGGCCTACTGGGGTGAGAGAAAATCACGCTTACCACTACACATCCGGTGCCGCTATTTAAATAAATGTTAAGCACGATGTTAACCTTGGCAGCATTTAAAATATTAAAAAGTACGCCGGTTTGAACCTCCAGCTATTCTACCACTGGCTGTTAAAATTAGTTGAACTTTGACCGTGTCACGAGGTTTAGAACATTTAATGGGAATTCTTAAGAAGTCATTTTATTCATTAATGGTGTTGTAAATTGGGTGGAGACCCAATCGATCCTAAAGAAAAAAGTGGCAATTAAACGTATACCGTAAGGGACCGAAATGCATATAGGATAGGAATACGTAAACCTCCTACCAAAAGTAGGCGTTTTGTAAAACGTGTTTGGATTTCGTTTAATTTCTTAGGAGTATCTAATTCAGTCTTGCACGGTACTAATTTAATTCACACATTTGTATTCAATCACCATACAGTTGTCGTAGTTGCACAAATCATCGTAGGATTATCAGGGTGAACCCTTTTAATCCGACGCTGTCGAATTCAAAAGATATGAACATGAACAAATTACAACAATGGAGTAACCACTTGCTGATGATAACTTAACTTCAAATTGTACCCATTGAATAATCGTTTAAATAGAATGATTGTTCATTGCAACTTGAACTGGTCTACCTCAAAAATGCAAAAAGTTTTATAAACGTGCACGTTTCTGTTTATTCGCCTAGGTGTCTTGGGCTCACTTATTTCTAGATTCATATGGAATGCGTGCACCAAAGACACATAGGTGACCCGGCAAAAACGGTGCGCACTTATTTGTTAATTTTTGTTGAAAATGTGCAATATGTTTGAGTACATTTTAATCCAAATACGTATGATGCAGCATCACATTCAATGGATTCCCGTTAATAAATAAACTAGCGGATCCCATATAGAGTTCCGACTTTCGTCAAGAAAACGTTCTGCCACATAAATGTTATTGAGCAAACCGCCGGAAAAACTGAGAACATTTTTTACCCGTCACTCTTTACAGATCACGATTTACAGCTTTTCCAAGAAAAAAAAGTACAATTGATAGCACCATTGTTTTAATACGCAAAGACGCGCAGAAATAGCTCCTTGTTTGCAACTAAAATGCAATACCTACCCTAGGTTGTGCCATCAATCTCTCCGATGTGGGCGGCCGCCGTTCTTAGGTTCCGCCGCTTGGAAACCAACGAACGATAAATCAACTACTTTAATTCTTCACTTTTCACTTAACAAAAAAAAAACACATACACAAACACTATTGCCACTTCTTCATAGAACAACTGCTTTGCACTGTCTCTTTGAAACTAGTACCAGTTCCAGGAGCGTCGCGAGTTACTTATTTTTATGCTTTCTGTAATACCGATAACGCTCCCGGTAAATCATAGGAAATCGCAGACGTTACTCGTTGTGGAAAACATCGGAGAATTTTTTTTCCCGATGAATGGAATTAGGAAAACATAAAATATGTTTACTCTTGCGTAGGCAAAATCACCCTTGGTTTATTTTCATGTTTGATGTATTTACCGTTTTGCCCAGGTTTTGATTAATGATAATTTTCTCATTCACACTAACACGCGCGCACATTGATCAATCCAAGAGTTCCAGTTGATGACTTTACTCTTCTCGTATTACGTATATCTTTGTTTCTTTCCTGATTGTAGCAATCTTAAATAAAAATTCACTTAGTTAAAACTAGAATCACAGTTTCATAATAACTCCTTATAGTGCGTTGTGTGATTTTATTACTATTTTCCTTACGCTTTACCCGTTAACGCGACGAACATCATCTCACGAGGGAACGACCGAACGAACGAAATAATTGTCTCTTTTTATGACAAAACACGCGAAAATGTTCGATCAATAGTAGAAATAGTACACAAACATCCCACGACGTCTACCGCGCGATGAGTTTTCAGCAGCCGAAAAAAAGAATATTAATTACTTGCATTTCGGTTCAGCGAGCGAGGAGAGCTCTTTGCACAATGTCGTCGGCTGCGCGTGTGATGAGCGAGAAATGATTTATCACACTTACGCGGAACACTGTCTAGGTTTCACACTGGAGTCTTCACTTTCGATGCGCGCTTTTTTCACGAGGCCGTGAGTGTGAGTGTGTGGTATGCGCGGTGTGACGAGGACGAATTCTACAACACAGAAGGCTCTCCTTGTTACTCGCTCTCTTGCTCTTTCTCTCACCTAGTGCTGTTCTCGTGCGGCAAATGATAGATCAGATCGCGCGTCGAGTTGGCCGAAAGGATAACAACACAACACGAGGTTGTAATAATCACAGCAGGCACTGGATCGCCAAGAATCTCGATGAATGGTATGCCGCACGTCGTTGACCGTTTGTTGCATTCGGATGACAGACGAAAACGAAAACTGTATCACACAAGTGGCTACGGCGGGATTTTGTACACGCTTGTGCGTTCTCTAACTTATTGTGATTGAGGTACGATCCATGTCTTTAAAAAAATTTGCGGCATTATCTTCTGTCGCTACACACTACCAATCGTTTGTGAATGCATCGGAACGTCTCGAAGTGATGAACTGCTGTTCTCAGCCGCGGTAGAACAATCCTTACGTTGTTGTTGCTATTAACGGCGACGGATAGATATTAATTTTAATAGCGATATATATTTGTCTAAATTTGCCGAAGTGCAGTAATAAATGACTAACGAAGACGAATTTAAATGATTATTGGTATACTGTTATTGTTATAATAATTTCTCTTATGGTTGAATATATAAAGAGTGAGAGCGACGTTCGTAAACACGTCGTACGCGTTTCGAAGGCAAATATACACTGCCTTGTCAATCAACATTCATCTACTGTGGCGGGGATATACGAGAGGTAGCGACAAAATTTATGAGCCCGCCTCTTTTTATGGTTGCTTGCCTTCACGTTGAGGTAAAACTCTCTCCTGCCGGCCTGCTCTCTCTTGCATGCCACCATACGGGCTGAAATTTGCGCACGCAATAACTCCGCCTATTCTTGTACAAAAATGTGATAGCTATATACAATTATTTATATGGCCGATTGAAATGAAGAATGTCTTATAGGATAAAAATTTAAAATTTAATACACACACACAGCACTTCATTATCGCTCTCTCCTGCTCTCTCAGTACTTACACAACCGTGAAACCCATAACAGTGTAGGTTAGCTTTCATGCCAAAACAGAGCTAGTTTGCGTGCACGGTGCACCTTTGCTTAAACGCACACGTTGAAGTGGAAAACCGCTGTTAACATATATTTAACTTAATGCGCATGGAAGATTCTTTGAGCTTCATTCGTCTCTTTTCGTCGAGTTGTGGTTCATAATCCATTATGGTTTGGCTGATGGTTTCTTGTACAACTACAGTTGCATTCAATACGAACATGTCCAACAACCTTCGGTGTAGTGGTTCAGTCAACTAGGGAGTACCGAGAGCAATCTCTTTCTCTCATAATTGCGCTATACAGACTGTATGCATGGACCGGCAGAAAACAAAGGCGCGCTTGCGGCAAACAACTCTTGAGAATCGTTCCTTTCCGTCGTGTATTAGCGGAGCCAACCGGCAGAGTATGATTTGAGTCAAGCTTTCCTCGAACAGTCCCGATGAGCTTCAGGGCTACAACGACGTCACCAATAAGGACTTGTTTCGAGGCAATCTTATCAATTCTTGACAGGCGAAACTGATCCCTAGTTCGTTGCAACAGTGCGAATGCAAGTCACTTCGTTGATTCCTGAATAGCAAAAAAAGTGCACTATGAGTTTGCGGATTTTTGTATTTGTTGTTTTTTGGAAACCGACAAGTGTGTGAGAGAGAGTGAATGCATAGCGTCTTTGCGTGGATAGTGATGTATCCTTTCTATTTTGAAGAGGGGAACTAGGAAGAATTCAATCGCATTCTGGTGCAAATGACTGAAGAGGATCACCTGTAATGCTGTGTCTCTCGGTGATGGATTTCTGACTTGCTTCCCACAATGGCAATACAGCGACTTGCACTAGGATCTCGACAAGGATATATTGCACGACAGACAGCAAAAGACCGGTCGTTCAAGCCAACGGGTAGACTTTAAATGGAATAATGAGATAAAGGATACAATCCAAGTGATTTTAGTTTTTTATTTCTTGTGATGCTTTGATACAGTCTAGACAATGCATACCAAACATAACTGGTACATGCAGGGTTTAGCGAAACATGTTTCATTTCATGCATAGTCAACAATAATTTCATGCTAAGCCAACAGGCAGTAAGTCCTAAAGCAAAGGAGATACCCAAAGATCTTTTCGGATTGAAGTGCTCAACACTAAGTTTACGTAGTTCCATTTTTCTTATTTTCTTACTTCCGTAGGCAGGTTGAAATTTATGTCCTACATACCTGTATTGTCGACCGACCGCATTCCAAACTGAAGTCAACGGCAAATAGAACCTCTTTTAGCCTAATTAGTAAAGACGCGGCTATAAACCAACACCATGCTAGTTCTAGTAGACTTCCTTGAGCATAGAGTAGCGTTGTGCCGTCATTATAGGTACCGATGCAAAAATGGCAATAGCCTTAGAAAGCTCTCACAACTGGGAAAGTGCTCATAGAACACTTATGGCGAATTCGTTTATTATCGGGGTTGGAACCAGTTCCAACCCAGTGCGAAACCGAACTTTTTGTCAGTGCGAACCTCAACCTGAGCTAGGTTTTAAAAACAAACGAGCAAACTGACGTTTGTCAGAAAACAAGCAGACCCAATCCTGATACCCGATCCAGGTTGGAACTGAATAATAAACGAATTCACTATTAGTTGAGGTCATCGCTAATTCTACGCTGGTTTGTCAAAAGGTCCAAAGTCGCAAACGTAAATAAGCCAAAAAGGCGAAATAACGTGCCTATGGTTACTTGGGTATATGAGTATCTTGATATGGAGCCCAGACTATACTACAGTACAGTACAGTACAGTACTGCAACATGTAATGTTTTGATTGTGTATGGATTATTGAAATGAAAGCTAAACCTTTTAATAAACCCTAGTATGTTGCTTGCCTTGTAGATAATGCTATTATAATGTTCAACAAAGCTTAATTTTGAATCTAGTATAACACCTAAATCTCTAACTTCTAATAATTTTCTTTCTTGTAAATGAAATGGAATTACATTTCTTCACATTAAGCATCAATAAACTTTTTGAGCACCAAGTGTAAAAGTTATCAATTTCTTGTTGAAATACTACAAGATCAGACGTTTGACGAATTTCCAGGAAAAGTTTCATGACGTCTGCATATATTGATACATTCAGAATATTCAATATGTGCTCTACATCATTAACAAATAGAATAAACAGTAATGGTCCAAGATGGGAACCTTGTGGCACACCAGATGTTACATTGACTACTAACGACAAATCTCCTTCAAATCTAACTCTTTGTGTCCTACCGGTCAAGTATGACTGAATCCACTTTAATAAATGTTGACTAAAACCTAACTTAGATAATTTGAATAGCAAAAGAGGGATATCAACTCTACCAAACGCTTTACTGAAGTCAGTATATAGTGCCTAAACATAATGTCCCTTATCCATTGCGTTAATAGAAAATGTTACAAAATTTAACAGATTAGTAGTAGTTGAACGTCCTTTAACAAAACCATGCTGTTTGCCTATAATTAAATGTTTAACTTTGATTTATTATAGATTCAAAGAGTTTAGGAATGCAGGACAATATAGCAACTCCACGGTAATTTTTTGCGTCTGATTTTTTCCACTTTTGAAAATTGGAATCATATATGATTCTTTCCAAATTGACCAAAAACCGGATTCGAGAGAAGAGTTGAACAGCCAGAACAATGGCTTTACTATCTCCTGCGATACTGATTTCAAGAATACTGATGGCAATCCATCTTGGCCTGCACCCTTTGATGCATCTAATGTATTTAGAGAATGTAAGATTTCGTTGAGGGTAACATTATTAACTACAATATCTCTCATTGGCTCAGGAAGGTATGAGAAATACTGGTAATCCCGGTCTTGGTCATCATGACTTGTGTAAATATCCTGAAAAAACTCAGCAAACAAGTTACTGATCTCGCTAGTCGTTTTTTCTGTTTTGTTGTCTAGGTAAATTTTCGAAGGATAATTATTTGACTTCTGTTTGTCTCTAACAAAGTTAAAAAATGATTTTGGGTCTGATTTAATGTTGTCTTCAACCTGAGTGTTATACCGTTCGTATGCGGTTTTTTTTATTGCACAGTTCAAATGATCGCATATGTTCAAATATATTGCGAGGTTACTATTATTTTGTTCTTTTTATGAGCCTTTTGTTTTCTATTTTTGAGATTATTTATTTGCCTACTGTACCATGCTGGAGTTTTAGATTTCTTTGATTTTTTCCTTAGCTTTTTTGGTACTGTCGTCTCTAATATATCGTATACAATTTCATAGAACATATCTACAGCCTGCTCTGGGCTCGAATTTTCAATCAAACTTTGCCAGTCAATAGAATTTAAATTGTTTTTGATAAGCTCATAGTTTGCATGTCTAAAGTCAAAATAGGTTTCCAACAAATCGCCATCCAACATTGTGGTGTTATCGTGTATAAATAGAAGAATTCGATTGCAGTATGAAATATTTCATTTTTCCATAGAGGTGCAGGAGCCTCAGTGACGCAGAAATCATCGGTCATATTCGTAAATAATAAATCTAAATAACAATTGTTATGATTTCTGACATGATTGATTTATCAAGTCTCTCTGCGCTTTTGTCAAATAAAGAATGGAGCGTTTCGTTGTATCCAACAATCGGTATCAAAACAGATTCGTCAACAATAAAATTTGCTGCTCGTTGATTAAAGTCACCGTAAATATGAACATTTGCTTCAGGCTCACATTTAGAAATAATAGTATCAGCAATACTAAACAACAATTCATATGATTCTTTTTTGGCACTTTCAGGAGGAAAATACACTGTCGCAAAGATGTGAATTTGATTTCCAATAAAACATTTAACCCAAACATGACCAAACTCCTTACACTTGCTTGATTCAATCTTTTCCGATTCATAGTCGGTACACACTGCGATTAATACACCTCCACCAGACTTTTTGTTGGATAACGTTTTGTTACGATCATCCTTAAACACATTAAAGCGATCTCCGAAAACTTCTCTACTATTTAAGCTGGCATCCCAACTTGTTTCGGTGCCTAAAATGATAGGATAACTAGAAGCGGCTACCTGTTTATAAATTTCATTGACCTTTATCGCGCTCTTCATCCTGTGTTAAATTTTGGCAATAAATTATAAAATCTTTGCAACCGCACTTTTTCTTGCTATTATTGACTTCAGGCAAGTCTGTCGTTTTTACTGTAGAAAATCTATTGGTCGACAAATTTAAATTATTATAACTAATTACCTCCCTCTCACGCGGAGAAGTCGTCAATTCCTGGCGTTCGTCGGGATCCACGATAATGTTGTCTTCCTCCAAGTGGTGCGTCAATTCCGCAGAAAACCCGAATCCCACGCCTCGCACAATGTAGCTGAACTTCCTGGATTCAACCTGTTGGGTACAGTGGTTTTCTTGGTAGAAGACAAGAAATTTTCCACCGTCTCCAACTAGAGGTTGCAAAGACTGAACACTTAACACTAAACAACGGACATCAAACATCACCCAATGGACCAATATGGAAATTTCCTTTTACGATAAGATCCACTGACTGAAGGGGAATGGAACTCTCACTTCATGGTATACTCAATACGCCCAGTGCTGTTGTTGTGGGTGTCAAGGGTAGTCAACGACCAAAAAAAAACCTGGAAAACGCCAAAAATTCAAGATTAC